ATTTTGGTGTAATAAATACAAAACATCCTTTTTTGAAAATGGTTCAGCTTAGGCCACACTCTTCCAGCTTTTGAAAAAAGCATCTCGGGAGCAGCTAGATATTTTGAGACTTCCAATGGTGGAGACAGATATGCAACTTAAACAGAAGATCCAATCACACAAACCTTGAAGCTGGTTTGAGTCTATTTCCTTCTGATGAAAGCAATGAATAACAGAGTTGGAAGGGACCTTGGAGGTCTTCTAGTCCACCTCCTTGCTCAAGCAGGAGAATCCTGCATCATTTCAGATAAATGGTTGTCCAATATCTTGTTAAAAAAAAAACCTGCGGTGCTGGAGCAACCCTAACTTCAGGAGGCAAGTCATTCCACTGATCAATTGTTCTCACTATCAGGAAATTTTTGTTACCGTGGCTTTCTAACCATCCCTCCATCCAAACTAATTTCTGTCAACACCGTGCAGCCTTTGGTGTGCAGCATTTTGTGCAAAGGCAAATCTCATCCTTGAGAACGGATGATGTGGAAGGAGAAACATGAAAATTGAAGGCGCAAAGGAGCCAACTTGATTAAGAGTTTAAATCGACTTGCTACCCCAATTTTCCACCCGCCTTCTTTCTCCCGTTTGGTTTTTCTCTCTCTTCCTATTATCATTTTCAGAACATGTTGATTGTGACCTCAATTGTGTGTGCGGGGATTTTAATTCGTTCTCAGCAGCCGTAATCATTTGAATTTAAGCTTCTCTTCTCCTCCCCTCCCACACATATAGTTTCCCCTGCAATTTAATCTACAAAAGTCATTTCCTCACTGAGGGATCCTTTTAATGACACAGTTGTTCCTGCTGCAAAGAGAGCCATCCATCCCCATGGAGTTTTCTTTATACATTTCAATGATGTGTCAAATATTATTGGAGAACCTAATAAAGATGGAGTCCTCTAGCTTTAGCTGACTGCTGTATGGGCCACAAAGCAGAGCCGATTCCATGTCACTTTCATATATTTTTTTTAGCATGGGGGTGGGGGGAGAATGCTAAACATTTTTATTCAACAATGGATCTTTTCTCACTATCTTCCTGGGCAGACTAAATTATGCCAAACAAAACAGTGGATCACCTGTCATTTTGAACAATGTCAATGCAAGGAACACCTGAGGATTTGAATCATTGCCAAGTTGGGTCAACCTGAGTAAGTTGGATATACTGGCTTCCAGCAATAGACTGCAGATAATAAAAATCAGTCCATAACAACGATATGCTAAGACATAAACCCTGGTTTGCAGATCATTGGATTCCCATGATGGAAGAGTCCCTGCAAACTGAGCTTTCTAAATTCGAATCTTACCAAAGGTTTTTGCTTTTTTTCCCATCGGGCAGCACTATGAATTTGAACGCCAAACATGGCAACTTTAAGACTTGTGGACTTCAACTCCCAGAATTCCCCAGCCTCCTGCAGTAGGGATTCAAATGTTGGCTGTGGAATTCTGGGAGTTTAAGTCCACAAGTCTTAAAGTTGCCAAGTTTGGAGACAGCTGCCTTATTGCAATGGAATAACCTATCATTCCATTTCTACAGACCTAAGTTTTGACCCTGGGTACGATCCAATGCAGGTGGCTCTTGTCATAAAGCATTGCAACCAAATGAGTAATGGAACATTTCATCCTTGTATTTGGGCAAAGGGCACTCATTTCAGGGCTTTCTTGACTCAGAGATTTCCTTAGCAGATTCCATTCTGGATTCCCATACTTACTCTACCTATAAAACAGTTCGTTTGATTTGGGACTGATGTAATGCTATGTTTTTCTAGCCAGAAACTTTAAGTTGAGTAGACTTCATCTCCCAGAATTCCTCAGCTACTTCATCCTAAAGTTATCAAATTAAAAAAAACAGGTGTGGCCTATGTAAATCAGGATCTATTGCATTCTAGTAATAACCCTACTGCGGCTTGTTCCACAAGCCATGGTTAAGACTTTGACTTATGATGATTTGCAAACCTCATCCTTGTGTCTAAATAGTAGGTGAGGGAGTCTTTATCTTGTGTTCCAAGAGTCGGCCTCTAACTCCTTAATTCTATTTGCAAAACTCAGGCTGGGCATTTTTTTTTTCCTCCTGACAAGGGTTGCATTTCCTTCAGGATTACCTCTATGGCAGTGCTTGCTGGTGGTGCATTGCTCAAATCAGCCTTGGGTAAGGTCAGGGCAAGCCAAGGTCTTTTGCCAACAGGGATCTATTGGCAAAAGAGCAAATCCTCTCTGAGAAGCAATGGGAAGCAATCCCCTTGCAGTGGGCTTTGGAAAGTCTGCCAAGTGGCAGAGAAATGAGGATGAATGCCATTCAAGATTAGATTGAGAGCCTCGGATTGGTTCACCTAAGATATATCCTCAGCAGTGTATCTCAGGGCATTCAAAACCCTAAATCTGGATTAACAGAGCACAACTGCTGCCATTGCTGCACACACTGTGATGAAGCAAACACATTAGGGATTGGGTCTCATCAGGGATGGGCTGCTGGGGGTTCGGAAGAGCCCCTAAGATGCTGTGCAGTTTGGAGGACCCCCAAATCCCACTCCTGGCTGACCCCACTGATCCTTCCCCTTCCCTCCCAGGAGTGGCCCATTTTAGATGCAGGTAAGGGCAGGATGTGTGTGGAGGCTCAGGGAGGGCAAAAACGGGCCTCCAGGAAGGTTGGGAAGGCCAGAAGTGGGCCCATTTCTAGCTCCCAGAGGGCCTCTGGAGCCTGAAGAGGCCCTTTTCGCCCTCCCAGAGCCTCGGGGAAAGCCTCAGGAGCCCAGGGAGGGCAACCATGGTGCAGGAGGCTGACTAGGCCCCGCCCATCATGGCGATACCAACCCAACAACCAGGCAGAGAACCCTTTACTAAAAATTTTGAAGCCCAGCCCTGAGTCTCATCGCCTGGTTCACACCACATAAGTAGACCCTGGCTTTGCCTCCATAAGACACTGAACCATCAGCTATCAAAACCAGTTTCATCTACTTTGTTGGACAAATTTATTCTGTTGAATTTGAGAAACTTTGGAAAACAATTGACTCCAGGAGTTCCATCAATAAACTATGGGATATTAAGGATCCTTGATAAAATACGGACAAATGAGAAAGGGAAAACACAAATTTACGGTAGTACCAAGCTTATACAAAACCTAACATAATTAAAAATGGAAGATTCCCTACTGAATCATGCGATCTGCAAAATTTGAGACCTATCCTCCTGGGCCAAGGGTTTCCTCTTAGGTACATTTTCTTCCTTAGGCCTCTTCCTTTACCCCACCTCATCCCTCCTGCAGCCAGGATGGAAATAGACCCTACTCTAATGGGTCGGGTAGATGTGACCAGCAAGAGACATTCCCTTTGATAACCCATGCCCTATGCACCATATGCACCAAGACAAATTCCTTGTGTGTCCAATCACACTTGGCCAATAAATAATTTTATCATCTGTCTGTCTGTCTGTCTGTCTGTCTGTCTGTCTGTCTGTCTGTCTACCTATTCTCAGATACTCTTCCCATCCTGCTTACAATCTTTGTGAATTGTTGCCTTCTGGCAGAAGATTCAGAACAATTAAAACTCAGACCACACATTTTTCAAACAGTTTTTTATCCCAGAGTTATAATTGCACTTAATAATGAACTTAAGGACCACCATCAGTGAGCTGTTGGACAGTATTACTTGGTCTGTTGTGTGAATGCTTGCGTGTTTTTAGGGGGCGGGGAATTTTGGTGGGTTGGTGGGTGTTTGGGGATTGTCGTGTGTGTGTGTGTGTGTGTTGGGTCTGGTCTCTGAGCATTATGTGAATTTCATTGTATGTGTATACTGTGTATATATGTACAATGATAATAAAGTATTATTATCTATAAAATAAATGTCTAGTTCCCTGAGGATGAGCTATGAAGAACGGTTACAGGAACTGGGCATGGCTAGTCTAGGGAAGAAAAGGACCAGGGGAGACATGATAGCAGACTTCCAATATTTGAGGGGCTGCCACAGAGAGGAAGGGGTCAAGCTATTTTCTAAAGCATCCGAAGGCCAGACAAGGCATAATGGATGGAAACTGAATAAGGAGAGATTCAAACTGGAAATAGGGAGAAACTTTCTGACAGTGAGAACAATCAACCAACGGAACAGAAGTTGCCTTCGGAAGTTGTGGGAGCACCATCCCTTGAGACCTTCAAGAAGAGATTGGACTGCCATTTTTCAGAAATGATGTAGGGTCTCCCATTTGGGGGGGGGGGGATGGACTTTGTCCATTGGTCAAACCCCCACTCCTTTACCCACAAACTAACCTCTATTGACCTCACCCCATTCCTAAGAGGTCTGTAAGGGGCGTGCATAAGCGCATCAATGTGCCTACCATCCCTGTCCTATTGTTTCTTTTATTTTTCTTATATGTATCCATTTCATGTATTCATAACTACGTTTATTCCTATACCTATTCTCTTGTAAGCCATTGACCAATCAAATGAAATAAATAAAAAAAATAAAATCATTCTTCTACTGTGTTGTAAGCTTTTGACAAAATTAAGCGAACCAATAAAAAGAAACAGATGACCCTGCAAGATCCCTTCCGACTCTGGTGATCTGTTATCGGAGCTCGGAAGCCTAAATCTCTCTGCTCCCGGGGACCGACCCCCCGATTGGATCTTGCAAAAAAACCCTCCTCTGAATTAAAGAGGGTTTCACGCCGAGGTGACCTATATAAGGCTTGCAAGCGCAAGCCTCCCCTTTGCCTAAAGCGGAGCAAGCCAGCCAAGATGCTAGGCGCATCCCCAGTCTTACGTAGGTTTTACAAGGAAGAATTCGCGTGGGGGGAAGCGAGTTAGACGTGCGTCGGAATGCCACCTGGATGCCAACGCTGCGCAAGCTTTCCTATTCCTGGCGTTTCTCTCCCCCGCCCCTCCCCTCCCCTCCCCTCCCCGCCCCGCCCCGCCTTGCAAAGGCCAAGAGCCCCGCCCCCAAAAGCCTACGTCACGCCCTCTCTCCCCCCCTCGTCCCCGCCCACCCCAGCTGATCCCGCGCCGCCCACTGGCTCAGCCAAGGGGCGACCGGGTCACCCGTGGACGGTGGGCGGCTTCTTCCAGGGGGTTCTGGCGCGCCGCCGCGATGCCGGGGAACATGCAGATGCCGAGCCGGGACGAGGCTCCGCCGGGCAGACGTGAAGCCCTCGTAGTGCAAGGTATCTCCCACCCCACCCCACCCCGCGCAAAGACGAGGGCCAGAGGCGTGTGGAAGGTGGCAAGGGTCCGCGTGGAAGGAGTTGCGGGAGCCTCTCGTGGGCTGGCGCGGGAAGAGCTCCGTTGGACTTCAACTCCCACCGTCCTTTGGCTGATGACGTGGGTGGGTGGGTTGAAGTCCAGCAAGAGTTGCGAAACTGAGCTGGGTATGCAGTACAGCAGAGGTCTCCAAACTTGGCAACTTTAAGACTTGTGGACTTCAACTCCCAGAATTCTCCAGCAAAC